GAAACCTCATGCGGGTCAGATATTGGTTTATTGTTGATATGCAATTTAATATTTTCATTATATTTTTTTTACCTTAACATGCTTCGTTTTTTCATTTATTATTTGCCACATACATTTAATTTTATTAGTTGCTTTATTCATTCTTTTAATTGATTGTAATTGTTTTGATTTTATAACCTTTTTCAAATATTTTTCATATTGTTTGTAATAAATTTTATTTTTCGGATACATAACATGAATTTTTAGTAATCTTTTATGTTTACAAGATTTTTTAATACCGTATGATAGCCATGATTTATATCGTTGTTTATTATAAATTTTTAATCGTTTATGTGGAATACAATATTCTAGTGCATCGTGTAAAATTTTATTTAGTGAATTGTAATTTCCGTCAACACTTTTATTATTACAAATGAACTTTTGCCAGTTTGTATTTTGTAAATATTGTTTGAATTTATTTATATTATTTTCATTGTATATTCTTTTACATATATAAAAATAAGGATTGTTATTTTGTTCTGATGGAACATTTTTTAATTGTAGCATTGCACATTTGTGGTCTGAAAAGCCTAACTCTAATACCGTAGCACTTACGTTTTTTTGACTGAAATTTGTAAATATCAAATCTATACATTTTTCCAGGCGTGTGGGTTCTTTTATAAGTTGCTTAAAATTTGACTCTAGCATAGTATTTAGGAGTTCAGATGATTGTTTCGATTTTACTAATGTATTCACATTAAAATCGCCACCAATAATAATTTTTTTATCTTTATATTTTTTTATGATATATTGAAGAATTTGATTAAATTGACTGTAAAATATGTCTGTCTCTCTACTGTTCCAATATAATGTAATTAACAATATATCCAATGCCGAAAGTTCAACAGTACAAACTTCAATAATATATTCAATAGAATATCCGTTCGTTCAACGTATTCGATGTTGTTTTTTAGTAATATGCACACACCGCCGCCGATATATTTTTCTCTGTGGAACGCTGCAGCCAAGTGGTAACCGCTAAGTTGCACGTCTGAGGCCTTATTTTTTTGTAAGCCAGGTTTCGGAGATACAAATTGCTTGGTATTCATTTTTGTGGTCATCCAGGAACGATTCTAATAAATCTCTCTTATTAAATAAGCTTTGCATGTTTTGAGAAATAATGTTAAAAGTAGGTGCTGCGATGCTCACGAAAGTTATAATTTTCTTTATTTATGTTTTTCGAACGTCTATTATATTCTCTTTGATTCGTTTTCTCACTTTCAGTGTTTCCTGATTTCGATGCATCATTCACTTCGACATCGACATGTGACTCATCATTATTAGTGTGTTTATATTCCTTGCCGTTAATCAAAAGTTTATTATTCCTCAGTATAGCATTAAAAATGTAAAATGTACCCTTAACCGACGAGCATGTATGCGTAGATATATGGATGTAAAGGAGGCGAAAGAGGTATGTCAGGATCGTGTCAAATGGAAGTCCGTGGTCTCTGCCTACCCCTCTGGGTGACAGGCGTGAGTGTTTATGCTTTATGCTAATTATGTATTTAATTATTAATTATTAAATGTTTGTAATTATTAAAATTAATACTTAAAATATGAAAAATAAGCAGCCATTATATACTCCGTTCTCGTTTGTTTTCTGGCTTCTCTTTGTTCGCCTTGTTTTCTGGCTTCATGCATTAAATTTCTTAACTTTTTCCGTACCTGGCGTGAAGTTTCGTCCAGGTTTTCTGTGATTGCAAGTCCTGTATTTCTAAAATATAATTTGTTATCAAGGATATAATTAACCATTTTTTTTGCTTATTAGTTCGATAACAAGTTGTCTTCTATTTCCCTTCTTTCCAAGTCGATTTATACTTTCTATATACTCTTCCAAATTAATATTTAATAAATTCTGAAATATGTAAGTCACACGGTTATGCAGTTCGTGTTCAGTCTCCCAGTAGTTTTCATCCAATCCGTATAGAACAAACTTCCTATTATTTTCGAAATTGTACAACCATTCTGCTTGCAGTTTTGTTTGTAGTGACTTTGTTCGCTGTAATTCGTTAATTTCTAACTGCAATCTATTTGTTTCATTCTGGAGATCTTTTATTTGTGTGTTTAGTACGTTTATTTCTGTTTTCATAGTATGTTGTTCTGCAGATATAGTATTTATATGTAGTGATATTTCATTTGTTACTGTAGTTGACATTTCTTGTAATAACATAGTTTTTAATTCTGATAATAGTGTATTCTTATTGTTTTCCAGTTTTTTTTCTAAAAGTTCTTCTATTTGGGTAAGCAGTAGTGAGTCAATTTGACAGTTGTAATTTTTCAAGTTGTTCTCCGTACACGTATTCCCCAGAATACTTTTATCATCATCATAGACCATGGTTGTATCATACGAGCTTGTTGTTTGCTTCCTTCTCATCGTCACATTAACCTCAGTTGTCGGTGATTGTTGTGGTTGAAGGCTATTTTGAATGCGAACCGGTGTGTTTGTATTTCCAGTTTTGGGCATTTTACAACGACAAGCCTGGCATTTCCAATTTTGTTTGTGTTCAGCGCTCATCGTATTATTAAATCGCACAACAGTAACATTTGCGCAATCTAAATCATAGCTTGATTTACAAAGTGAGCAGGTTAAATATTCTCTCTTCGGAAATTTTTGTAAACAACCAGCGCTTGTGGTCGCCATTTTAAAGAATTCCTCAAACGAAGCGAAAAAACGAAAAAGACAAATTCAACAGGCGTCCCTTGGGTTTGAACTCGCAGCTAAAAGAATGTACAATGAGCAGTCCAATACCGGCCACAACGCTGTAAGCGATTCACTTACTTAAAGTTAAAGTAAGCAAGTAGTTGTTAAGTAAATAGAAAATTCGATGACTTCGGGTACTTCTTCGTTCAAAGTCCGTTTATTAGCTGGCAAAAAAGTACCTTCATTATTTTTGTTGATTATTTGAATTTGTGTACACTTATTTCACTTCAATAAACCGATTCTATTTAAATATTGATTGTTCACTTTGAAAAGTTCACACCGGTAAATTTTTTGCGTTTGTTTTTATTAACTTTCTTGTTCATAGTTCACATGTAAACAGCACTTTTTCATTGGGTTTCACACACCACTATACTGAATTTCGTTTTTATTTCCTTTTTTATGAATAAAATACCAAGATAACAATATTCACTGATAATTTTGTCTGTCTTTATAATTTTTTAATGCTTTGCTTTTGTAATTTTTAATATGATAAAGAATTTTGAAGAAATACTATTTATTTGAATATTTTTCCGCGGAGCTAATGCGTAACCTGTCGCGCCCTCTGCCCATAGTGTAGTGAAATAAACGCGATAAAATCCGTAAATTCCTAATTTTACAAATTAAATCCTACTATAGAAAATAAAAAGATTGATGCCTTCAAAAAAGATTAATAAGTGAAAAAAAGAAAACAAGTTGGAGACGAATTTGATTCATTTAAGAGATATACTCCAATAACTTATATCCGGAATTATATTAAGCGATTTAAAAGGGTATAGGCAACGCCACGAGTCATGGAAGTGTGCCGAACCGAAAAATAGGTGTCGGCACGGTGAGGTGTGAGGTACGGGGAAGCGAAACCATAGCAACGGGCGACGCGCTACTCCCAAGTAGTTTCTCCCTGCGTCCCGTCGCCCGCGCACCTTCTTGTGTCGTCTTGTGTACTATCGATATCGAAAGTGTTAGCGACTACCTGTTATAAAATTTTAAACTTTTACGATTATTTTTGTACTTTTAAAAATATTGTTCTATAATATTTTCAAATAGTGTGCAAAAATTTATTACTTTATAAATTATTTTGGGACTATTTAAAATGGCGTATTTCGTAGTATATTGTATAAAGTTGTAAATATTTAGTTATTTTCTACAAGATGATTTTATTTTGCAAATTATTGCATGTAAAATATCCTTATAATCGAAGACTATCGCATAGTATAGTTTAAACAGCAATAACAAATACAAAATATTTTATTTCTTTAAATAAGTGTACATAAAATGCAGAATATTCTTTAGAAGCATTTAAAACCTAACGATGATATATAAAAATATCGTCCAGTTTTCGTGGAGACTTTGATGTGTAGTTATAATGTTGACCTTTGACTTTTTACATATTAAAATGCCATAATAAAATTTTAATTTTTTTTGCATGATTGTACATGAAGGGTACAGGGGCAAAACAAGAAATGTCACAAAAACAAAAAGTTGTGTAATTAACATTTCTATATTTCAAAGTTAACAATTTTCTTAGGTATGGCTTAAACTTATACACTGCTAATAAAAAGTTAAGTTTACCTTTTAAAGTGTTAATTTAAGAAAGAAAAAATACTTTTATGGAAATAAAAAAATTGAAAATAATAAAAAATTAAAGTAGTTCACTTTTACAACATTTGAGCATTTTTTCATGTATAGATTTTTTTTTTAAAATTGTAAATTTTCTTATGTGTTTACCTATTCCTACCTCAATCACCTCAAAGGGTTTGGGTCTTTGGCGACTTACTCTCAGCAAATCATACCACTGGTATAGAACTTCAATGTGAGCTTTTAGATTGATTATATTTTTATCGCATTCTAAATACGAATGTCCTCGTATTGGATAAGTAATTTTGATAGAATCTAAAAGTTTCATTTTATGGACAAAAAAATGAATAAACCTTATCACTGTGTAGTTCTTGTTCTGTTCACCTGCTGAATCACAAAATATTTCTAAATGCTTTACACGACTATCCAGGTGGTTTGTTAAATATTGAAACAGAAATGAAACCACTTCATCTGAACCCTTACGTCCACAGGTTTCTGGATAGGTGTAAAAATAGGAGCTTGCATCACCCAATGCATGAATATTAAAAGAGTACATTAATAATTGACGTTTGTAATAGACATCGCTTGTGGTGATGTTTGGCAACGACACATTCTTCTGGTAGTCCATGGCAATTGCTTGAAATTCCACATCTGTTTTGCTCTTGATTCTTGCATTTTTTCTTACGATCATAAAATGTTTGAGCCTTTTTCTTGCGCAAATTGTTCAGAATAGTTAACCGATTCAGTTCTATAATATTTCCTTCAGCTCTCAATGCCTTCGCTTTTATTTTGAATTCATCACAAGCACTACAGGTATCAGTCCTGGGATAGTCAAATGATATATTAATCTCTGTATTAAAGATGATTCTGTAAGTTTCATAATATACATGATTTTGTGGCTCGTATGCATCTAAATACAACTTATACATTTTCTTTATGTTTAGGTCCTCAGGTAGATATTCTTTTTTTGTATCATTCAAGCTGTAGTGACTTTGCCGTCCTTTAAAGGATTTTATATGATTACATATCAAATCTTTAATGTTATTGTCTAATATCTTGTTTGAACCTGACTTGCCTCTTTTGTCACTTGGTGCAGTACCTGACATTTTCAATGAATTTTGAAATAATATGGATAAAAATGCTTTGTAGCAAACAGGTTCTTCTTTTGTCTCATCATTTTCTATCACCCTCACTTTGTAAGTGAAATGCGTTTGATGGAAATTAGCATCCATTTCTTCTGTTTTTCTACTTCGCCTCCTTTTTTATTGAACACACATTCATCAAGGCACATAAGTATATATTTTGTTCATCTGTATAGTTCATGCTGTTGAAGTCTTTAAGCAGTTTTGCACGTTGCTCTGATGATATTCTATCAAAACATTTCAATCTTTTACACCTGCAATCATCTCCTGGCTCGTGCGCGTAGAAACTCTCAATTTTTTCATCACTTCACGCAAAATTCCTGTTTTCTTTCGTTTCTTTGTGTTATGCACAAAAGTGTTATTGATTTCTTCATCACTATTACTCATTTTTACAGCGGTTAATCGAAATAACAATTAATATCTATTAAAATCACAAACAGCAACTCCGAACAAACACTCTAGGGGTATGTTCCGAAATACAACGCAGTGTACTGTCCAATGCAAATGACGTATCATTTGACACTTTATTGTACTAGCGTGCCGCCGCCATATTGTGTCGGATATCCGGCCATAATAAAACAATTTTTAATTGTGTGTTTGCCGAATGAAGGATGCCAGAATTTGTTTCTATTTATTCAAATACAAAAAGTTATAGAATAATTGATGGTATATCCATTAGGTGGATATAATGATTTTTTGAGCACAAAATGACAAAATAATCGCCAACACTTTTCCAAATGGCGCAAAAGTATGACGTCATATACTGTCCAATGTTTTGGAACGAATCACCAGTATAGCGTCGATTCATAACGTCATTTGCATTGGACAGTACACTGCGTTGTATTTCGGAACATACCCTTAATAACCTCAAAGTTGACTTAAATATTTTGACAGCTAGGACATTCCTTCTTACGTTCCGTTACAACATGGACCTTCCCTGTTTTGTTCCTGCACACAATTTTGAAATTCTAGTAATACATCTGACAATGCTTGTTTTTACGCTTTTTGTATAATGCCAAATAAAAATACACTGAGAAATGAGAATGTTGCCATCATAAATTAACTTTTGGATTTTTTGTGACATTTCTTGTTTTGCCCCTGTAACCTTCACATGCGCAGTGGACTCTATTTAATTTCATCTTTCGTGGCACGACCTATACCTGTATATAAGCCATAAAAAATGATGATTGGATTCCTTCTTTCTTAGATAAATATGCTCACCATCATCTGAAAAGGAAATAGATATTTTAAATTTAAATACAATATTTAATCAGATAGGTACTGACAGTACCTTTTTTCTATTAAAAGAATTTATTTGGCATGAATTTACTGCAGCTATCCAATCAAGGAGATATTCCACTCCAGGATTGGATGATATTCCATATTACATAATACATAAACACTCACACCTGTCACCCAGAGGGGTAGGCAGAGACTACGGACTTCCATTTGGCACGATCCTGACATGCCTCTTTCGCCTCCTTTACATCCATATATCTACGCATACATGCTCGTCGGTTAAGGGTACTTCTAACGTGGCCCCTTTTCAAAATATCGCCAATTTGGTCGATAAACTTTTTTCTAGGGCGTCCCTTCATCATTTACTCTATTTCCCGCATTCACTCGTCGTTCTATATCCCTATCATATCTACCATCCCTGCTAAATACACATCCCAAATACACAAACTCATCCACTTGCTCAATTAACTCTCCTTCTATTCTTATTTCACATACCGTTTTGCTTTCTTCTCTTTCAAAAACCATCACTTTCGTCTTACTTGCGTTCACTTTCATTCCCCTTTCTTTTAGTTCCCAGTTCATTAATGTAACCATCATTTGCAACTCAGCCGCCGATGACGCAAATATGAGTTGATCATCGGCATACAAAAGGCATTTGACGGTTAACTCGCCAATTCTTAACCCACATTCTTCATCTTTCAAAGTTTGCAAACACCTGTCCCTAAATAGGTTGAACAGCCAGGGGGAAGCTACACAACCCTGTCTGACACCTTTTTGGATGCCAAACCAGTCCGAGTAGACCCCATTGATCCTGACACAAGCACTAGAGTCCCTATAAAGAGACCTTAATGCCTGTATCAAACCAGCGCTCAACCCATATGAGTTCAGTGTTTGCCATAACACATTCATGTCCACTCTGTCATAAGCCTTTTCCAAGTCCATGAACGCACAAAAAACTTTCTGGTTTTTGGCCAAAAACTTCTCCGCAATCATGCGCATGGAAAAGACTTGATCTGTACACCCCATTCCCTTTCTAAAACCCGCTTGCGCATCCCAAATTTTTCCATCAGTTTTTTTCATAACTCTTTCCATTAACACCTTAGCATACAGTTTACCCACAATACTAAGCCAGCTGATACCACGGTAGTTTTTGCAGTCCTGCTGTGACCCTTTTCCTTTATATATTGGTACTATAACTGCTTTACACCAGTCACCCGGTACCCGTTTTAATTCCCAACATAAATTAAACAAGGTGTGTACAGCAGGCCTGCCACCACCCCCTCTCCAGCTCTTAGCATCTCGAGTGATACTCTATCATATCCAGCTGCCTTACCTGCTTTCATGCTTTTCATTGCTTTCATTATTTCATCTACACTTATCTCCACACCCTTTTCCACTTCTTTCGGAATTTCTAGTTCATTTAATTCAGACGACTCTTCACTCATAAACACGCTTTCAAAGTATTCCTTCCACCTGTTTAAATTCGAAGCTTCATAATTCAGAATATATCCATTCTCGTCTCTTATAGCATTCATTATAGGCTGTTTTGTATTTCCCCTGGCAGCTCCTACGAGTTTCCAGAACATTTTTATGTTAGCCTGGAAATTATGAGATATCCTTCTATCATTCTTAATAAACTTATTAGCAACATGCTTGTTAATGGACAAAAAACTATTTTAAAAATCTTTAATATGCTTTGGAACAATCAATGCATCCAAAGTCTTGGAAAACGCAATGTGTGATACCTATTTTGAAACCTGATAAAACAGAATATGACTAACTCCTACAGGCCAATTTCACTTTCCTCTTGTGTAGGAAAATTATTTGAATACATGTTGAAAAATAGACTAGACTATTAGATAGAAGCAAATAATATTTTACCTGAACAACAATTTGGTTTCCGGAAAGGAAAAAGTGCTGGAGAGAGTTTTGCCTCTTTGATCTCAGATATAAATCATTCATTTACCAGTCATGCAACTACAGTTTGCCCATTTATCGATATTCAAAGTGCATTTGATAATGTAGATCCTTCCATATTGGCAAATATTCTGTGTGAGCTTGGTATTCCTGGAAAAGTATGTAAATGGATTTTTAATTTGCTAAATGACCGAACTATGTATGTTTAATTTAATAACATATTATATGGCCCCAGAAATGTATACAAAGGCACTATGCATGGTGCTACTATGTCTCCCTTGTTATATAATATATATATATATATATATATATATATATATAATATATATATACATGTTTAATAAGTAACTATATTACAAATACAAATATAAACTATTGCAATTTGCTGATGATCCCCATGTATATACTGTAAATAAAAATATAAATATAGCGCTAAATAATTTAAATTAAGCATTAGATCAAATTCATGATTTTTATTCAAATAAGTTGAAATTAAACATTAGTTCCAGTAAAAATGGAGCTCTCATTTTCTCTAAAAATACTATTCATGCGATATTTTTGTAAAATATAATAACATACCATTGCCTTGGTTAGAGAAAATTTTTTTTTAGGAATATTGCTTGATCAGAAGCTAACTTTCCAAGAACATGTAAATAATCTATGTAAAAATGCCTGTAGGGGTCTCAATGTGTTAAAATCATTAGCAGCTGTGCATTGGGGAGTTGATCCAAAATTGTTATCAATGCTTTATAAAAGTATATTTCGAAGTCCTTTTGATTATAGTACATTAGCATACTTAAATGCATACAAATTAACTTTAAAGAGATTGGATATAATCCAGAATAAAGCATTGCGTATAATAACTAAGGCTATGTGCTCTACACTAATCCATGTAATGGAAGTAGAAAGTTGTATTTCTGCACTTTGATTAAGAAGCCTACAAATTACTGAATGGTTTTGTGTTAAATTAATCAGTTCAAAAAATAATTTAGTTTAAAAAAAAATACTTCCTTAGAGTTTCCTGAGTTTGATGATAGCTCATACATTGATGTAAATATGCTTTTATCTGGTCGATTACCAGACATCCTGAGGATTGTTATATACTCACAGACAAACCAAAAATGTGTATCAAAGTAAACCATGGCCTTTATATAAAATATATTATGATGCAATAGTGAACATTAATTTTCTGCATGTCAAGAAAAAGTGAATTCTCAAATGGAAATGTTAAGATATTTAGCTGATACTGATTATTATACAATTTATACAGATGGAACAAAATCAGAAGAGTACACAACTTCAGCATTTTATGATTCGTAAAAGAAAATATCTAAAACTAATAGGAATTTTTTTATTTTTGATTATTTAAATTATTTAACTGTAAATAAAAAAACTATAAAAAAAGCCCGCCAGCCACTCCTTGGTACAACAAAAAGGGATTAATAATAGAAAATTCATTACAACTGTACACCGAATGAAATTTGGACATACATATTAAAATTAAGAATATAAAACGTCCCTATTCCACTTGTATCAGGCTTACATTATTAATTATTAAAAAATATTTTTAATAAAATTATGAATATGTGACCAGGATAAATAAGATATGTTTTGATCTTCCTAAATAATCTTTCAAAAGGTTTAATAATAGGCCGTTTGTAATATTTTGGCGTGATCGCCTTGGTTAGGACCCTTATTTACGTTATGTTTGTTTAGTAACTTAGTTCTTTTAGGTGTCTTTTGGAAGAATGAATATTCACTAGAGCAATTGAAAGCTGTTGGTAGTGCCTATAAGCTAAGTGAACCCCGTTCACGAAGACAGGGCTCGAGAAAGGTTAAGAATATAAAACGTCCCTATTCCACTTGTATCAGGTTTACATTATTAATTTATTATTATTCATCCATTCCCGCTTGGGAAAGGCTCACAATATATTTATAAAAAATACCCGATACAAGGGCTTCGCTCTCCTACATTTATTTAAAAAAAAATGTAGGGGAGGCACACGGCTCCACACACGCCGTGCGCGGTGAGCGCCAACCATTTTGATGTACTCCCCCCGAAGGGAATGTTAATTCAGGAACTGGACCGTAGTCCACAGCAAAATAACTGGCGAACCAGTAAAAGAGGCTTGGCCCCTTGTTAGTGCGTAAGCACAAACATCGACCGAAGTCGCGCATGTCAATGCGTGTAAACGCCAAACAGAATACGAACGAATCCAGCCACAGTGAATGTACGTCACACGGTTTAGGCAAATAGGCACACTGGCCGGGCCGTAAACCCTCCGTGAGCGCCACCACTTGCCAGACCGCCGCACACAGGAGTATTACACATAAAAAACGGGGCAAAATTGAAAATAGTGATGTTAATCCAACCGCATCCAAAATACATTTTTCTTTACCTACGATAACCGGCTTATTAAAAGGCAGACTCCCAACCCTCAACTCCCACGCATGTGGCTACAGCGTCAGTCGGAACCCAGTCATCGTAGTGTACGCGTGTCTATGTTCTCGGCGCTCTCGTTTGTGTTAATCAGTTTACTGTGATAAAATGGCTTCGTATAGCAAACAGCAGGAGATTAACTATTCGGACATGGAAATAGAAGGTTAGTACTATATGCAGAAGTATATTTTATTATGTTTCTTCCAAATTTCTACTTGTATAGCCATCAATAAACAGCGGAACTTTTTTTATGGTTTTTTAAAGAAATTTGAAATAAATTAGTGTTTTTGTTTATGTGTCGCGCCTTGTCGCCTCAAAATTTATATGTGGGCATAAAATGTAGACTCTAAGGAAGTAGAAACATGAATAAAAAGTCCCCCCAACGTACCCCATATTTTTTTATAGCACTTCAAACTATATGGGGAAGATTATAATTATATTGACAAAGCTAATTTTTTTGTTTTCTTTTGTCATAGATCCTTCGGAAAGAGTGAAAAAATCTTCAGAATGGAGCTTTATACTATTATCAAAGAGTTCAAAGGAAAGAAGATTGAAGAAAAATTTTCGCTGTTGGAAGAAAGACTTGTGCAACTAACTTCATGTCCACCCAAAGAAACAACGGTTCTTACCCGTTATTTAAAATATTTCAAGACCAGTTTCAAAGAAAGATGGTCGGCAGCCCGTAATACTGATAAGAGATTCGTAAAAAACAATATGGAATGGCTTAATGTATCACTGGAACTACCTACTTGGACCCACAAAGCAGGCCGACCAACAAAAGAATTCAGAGAATTGTGTGATCGAAGCAAGCGTCGAAGAACACAAGATTTACGGGACCGGGTACCTGTTGAGGAATTGACGTACGCTGCAAGAGTGAGTCAAGGTACTTCGGGAAATATTGATGCGTCTAAGATTATGAAAGAAATAACATCAACGCCAACCAGAGCTAAAATGTTCCGAAAAGCAATATCGTCAGCTAAAAACGTACCAATTGCGAGAAAATACACACCACAAGAAGCATTAGCGTTATTTGTAGAAGGTAATTTTACAAGAGGGCAGTGGGAATTATTACAAGGTGGCCGAAAAGAAATTTATCCTTGCTATTCGCTTTTACAAAAAGCGTAAAAGGAGTGTTATCCCGCCGAAGATAGCATAAAAGTTACTGAAACTAGCTTCGAAGTGGAACTTCAAGCTTTGCTGGACCACACGGCTTTGCGACTACTTCAGTATTTAAAAGAAGTGATTGGAACATTATCAGAGTTGGAGAAACAACATCTTACCTTAATATCAAAATGGGGCTGTGATGGATCTAATCAGACACAGTTTAAGCAGACATTTTCCAATACTGGTGACGATGATGCCAATATATTTTTAAGTTCTCTTGTACCTGTGAGAATGATTGTTTCTATTAATGGAGAGACAAGAAAAATTATATGGCAAAATCCAGTGCCTTCTTCGGTGAGATTCTGTCGTCCTATCCGGGCTCGGTTCATTCACGAAACAAAGGATATCACAAAGGAAGAAATCACCTATATTGAAGAACAAGCAAGGAATCTCAAAGAAATTACTGGTATGGAAGTTTCGGTTAAAATAAATCACAACATTTTGCTCACAATGGTCGATGGAAAGGTGTGCAATGCCGCGACTGATACGGCTTCAACAATGAGATGCTACATATGTGGACAAACATCTAAGGACTTCAATAAACTTGAAATAGGTAATGTTTGTGAAGAGTCTCTGAAATTTGGACTATCCATTCTGCACGCAAGAATTCGTTTCTTCGAGCTATTGTTGCACCTGGCGTATAAAGCGCCCTTACAGAAGTGGCAAGCCCGAACGGCAGAAGACAAAAATATTTTGAAAGAAACAAAACAGAAAATACAATAAAAGCTTCAAAGAAGAGATGGGCCTTCTTGTTGATATACCCAAAGTCGGTTACGGCAATAGTAACGACGGAAATACGTCGAGAAGATTTTTTGACAATCCTGAATGCTCATCTCGGATTACTGGAATAAATATAGATTTGATAAAAAGGTTCCAAATCATTCTTGAAGTGATATCAAGTGGATATGATATTGATCCTGCGAAATTCGATGACTTTGCTCACACAACTGCCAAACTGTACGTGGAACTATATGGTTGGCATCCCATGTCACCTATAGTTCACAAGATTCTGATGCATGGTGCTCAAGTAATATCAAGTCACATTATACCTATCGGACAGCTATCAGAGGAGGCTGCTGAAGCCCGGAACAAACATTTCCGTAAATATCGCGTAGACTTTGCAAGAAAATTTTCTAGAGTGGACTGCAACACAGATATTTTAAATAGGTTGTTGCTGACATCCGATCCTTTCATCAGCTGCAACAGAATAAAACGGAAGAAGAAAAGCAAGTCTTTTTCCCAGGAAGCTATTAGTATGCTTCTCACGAAAACACTGAATTGTGACAGTTCCAATGACGAAGATTATGAGGACCAAATCACCTGTGAACTCGGAGACAGTGATTCTGATTGATTCGGTCTCCTCATAATTATCCTCTTGAAAACAAATCCTGTTTTAAGAGTAAATACTCCCTTAGATTTGTAATTCTTTTTTAATTGTTTTTCTTTTTAAATAAATGCTTAACTATGATGAATTATTGACCTTTATTTCATAAAATAGTAAAATAAAATATAAAATAATTTTGTCCGGTTTTTAATGTGTAATACTCCTATGTGCGCCGCTCCTGCAGACGTGATGTAAGTGTATGGCATCACCACCAATTGCATTATCAGCACGGCTACTAGCCACAGAGCATGTCGTGAGGCAAATACATGTACTTACCTAGTCGAAGACCATTTATGCAGAGTTACATATAACATGATGAATTTGAAACCAAAGAAAATGTACTACCAGTACTTGAAAAATCTATAAGTACTTAATATTATAAAGAAGAAAGATTTGTGTGTGTGTGTGTTTGTATCGAATAGGTTTAAAAACTACTGGATCGATTTTAAAAATTCTTTCACCGTTTGCTAAAGTTGGCAGTGTACGATTACCTGAAAAAAAAACATGTATTCGATGATCTTCCTAAGGTTCCTGGCGATTGGTGGGTCAAAGACTTTTTAGAACGTTATAAAGATGAATTGACATTGAGGTCTGTACAAAATATTACGAAGGCCCTAGCAGGAAAAACCTTAGAAGAATTTAAAGATTATTTCAGTAATCTAGAAATTTTCGTTCAGAATCTGTCCTCCTAAAAACATTATGAATTATGATGATATGATCAGAACGTGGCTGACGACCCAAGTTCCATGAAGTGTATTTTTCGCCGGGGCGCTAAATACCCCGAAAGGATATTAAACCACACCAAAGGCAGTATCTCCGTTATGTTCGCGGGTACTGCCGATGGTTTTCTTCTTCCACCATACGTGGTGTACAAATTTGAAATTTTGTGGTCGGAATGGTGTAAGGATGGACCGGAAGGAGCATGTTATAATCGAAACAAAGGCGGTTGGTTCGATTCCGTCGTAGTTCACGAATATATTAATTCCCTGGGCTAAACAATTGAAAGGACCGATATTGGTTATAGGTGATAACTGATCCAGCCATCTAAACCCAGATGTGGCTGAATTGTGTGAGGCTTATCAAATTCGTTTGTGGTTTTGCCTTCAAGGTCAACACAACTTACTCAACAACTAGATGTTGCCTTTTTCGGGCCAATGAAAAAGTCTTGGAGGAAAATTCTTCTACGTTATAAAACGGAAAATCCTAAGCAGGCATTGCTAAACAAAAGCCACTCTCCTCTTTTATTGAAGCAGATGATGGATGCTGCTAATATAAAAAAGCAAACTTTGGTAAGCGGCTTTAAGACGACGGGTATATACCCATTCAATCCTTACGAGGTATATAAAAAATTGCCCGAATACGAAGATGAAATAAAATACGATGTTGACCAAATACTACTCGATTGTCTCAAAGAGAACAAATATCCCAATCCAATAAAAAGAGGTAAAAATACCAAAGTAACTGTGCCAAGTGGTAAATCAATGAGCAGCGCTGATATATCTAGTACCATCAATCAAAAAGTCACCATAAACAGGAACACAACTTTAAAAAAATCTCTAGCAACTGTAACTGAACGAATACAACATCAAAGCTCTGAAACAAAACAAAGTAAAACAGAACGTCAACCAAACAAAACTTTGAGCAAGAAAGTAGACAGTAAACAGAAGCCATTTCAGAAAGAAAAACGTGTTGTAAGTACTTCAGACTCAGAATCAAGTTTGTAATACCTTCTAATGATACGTCAGAGTATGATCCTAAATGTGACGAAGATGAAGACATAGAAAATGAAACAAATGGATGTGTAAAGAGTTGCGAAACTTAAAAACTAAAGTGACCATATTATCTGATATAAAAAATACAGCTGACAATCAGGCATATTTCGATTTGAGCAAATATGTTCCATTTGAACTTAAACCTATAAACACTAATTATAAAGTGAAAACAAAAGCTGACAGGGTTGGAAGAATAAAAAAAGAAAGCTCAAAATGATCAAAAATGATGACACTAAAAGAAGAATGCCAAAATTGACATCTCAAAAAATGACAACCAACAAAGAAACGTGCAGGTTGTAGTAAGGAGCCTGAGAAAAATACTTCGATGTCACATAATATTAATGATTATATATTAGTGCGATACATACTAGAAAAGATAGTTCAATATTTTGCTGGCAAAATTTATGCAAAACTAGAAAATACTCGTAGATACCAAGTTTCTTATGTAAAGCAATCTGGAAGAAGCGATAATACAAAATTTATTCAACCGAAGAAAGAAGACATTGATACTACAAATGAAGAAATGATTGTGAAAGAAGTGCAGCTGATGAGTATAAATGAACAAGAGACTAAATTTGTATTTTTAGGGGATGATGATTATGTGTATTTTGATTACTGATTCTGGTAGATAGGTAGTTTGTAAGTCATTTAAGTGTTTTCTTTCATATTATTTAACTTGTGCCATTCCAAAGAATTAAGTTTTGTTAAATATGTTAGCTTTTTCTTAGTGTTTTCTTTTATAATAATTAACTTGTTCCATTCCAAAGAATTAAGTTTCGTTATAAAAGTGAGTATAAATGAACAAGAGACTGAATTTGTATTTTTAGAGGATGATGATTAGTGTATTTGATTACTGATTATGGTGGGTAAGTAGTTCGTACGACATTTAAGTGTTTTCATTCATACTAATTAGGTTATGCCATTCGAAATAATTAAGTTTCGTTAATAAGTGAGTATAAATGAAGAAGAGTCTGAATTTGTATTTTTAGAGGATGATGATTACGTGTATTTTGAGTACTGATTCTGGTAGGTAGGTAGTTTGTAAGACATTTAAGTGGTTTTTACTTTTCATACTAAACAATTTGTGCCATTCCAAAGAATTAAGTTCCGTTAAATAAGTTAGCAACTATCATGCTATACGTTACTATTACTTTAATGGTAACATTCCAGAAACATTTTATTCTATTTTTGGTAGGTAGGTAATTGTTGAATGCTTGAATTTTCACGTTTCGAAACAATTTTATGTTTTACAGAGTTTATATAATTTTTGTTAATTAAATACTATTTTTATTTTTGTTCAAGAAATTACGGTAACATTACGTTGCCTAACCTCTTTTATGGATTATTCTATGTAAACTGTTGATTAGGTAAAGTTGCAAAAAAACGAGTCAACTTTACCTAGATCACAAAAAATTATATTGTAATAAGTTTATGTCTGATTTAGATGAGTTCGACGGGTTAACTAATATAGACGCGTTTACTTTACAGATTGAATCAATATAAATCAAAGTAACATGCTCTATGTAATGTTGCCACAGTTGACGGTAACTTTTTGTTGGTTTCAGCACCTGCAATCAAAAAAGATAAATTTTTAAGTTGTTACTTAGATGAATTGTATTCAAAAATATCTTGTTTATTCTAGTTATCTATTACTTGATTTACCATTTTGATATTAAAATGGTACCCACCCCCTGCCCCCTGCCACAAGATCAATATAGAATAGGATATTGTAACGCATAATAAGTCTTGTGTGTTTCAGATACACGTTTTAAATCATTATTCCGACGATGAAGCACAATGTCTCTAGATTCTAAATTTTCTCCCACAATGACAACAGCCACTTCGTCAATGGTGGGCGAATTAAACCTCCTTGTGTGTTCACCGGCAGGTGTTTTGTCAGCTCGAATGACAATATTATGGCTGTCAAATGGAATCCGATCCAATGCTATTATGAACATGTTTACTAAATTGTTGTTCTGATGATGAAACATTTGTAATTCTTGGACAATAATTCACTTCACTGTTGGATTATGAGCACAACGGTTATCAAGTTCCGCATCTGAATTGCCAATAAAATAAATTTGTAAAAATTGATCTTAAAGATTGATCTGCATCTGGTAGTAAGTAGTAACAGCGCCCCCAGTAAGTAATAAATTTGTCCTTGTATCTGTAATTTTCGAAGATTTTTATTTCTGATATATATTTTCATACAAACTTGAATATTATAAAAAAATATTATGGTATAATACCTTGAAAGTGGGCATGAAATTGTCCTGTATAATATGTGTAGCGCCAAACAGCTGTTATATTTCTGAATTTTGGCCAAGAAGTGCTTAGAATCATTTCCAATCCCAAAAACTAAAGAGCGTAAAGGATCTGGTGGTGGGACCAATTGTGGCAATTTTCCTTTGCCACCAGCACACTATAATCCAGTAGATACACCACTGTATTTTAATGCTTTACAATATCTACAAATTATTGTCATTTCCCCAATTGTTACCGATATGCCTGCACTATTATCAATTCCCGGATCATAGTGGAATGCAGCTCGTTCCGGAATCACAGCAGCACTGCGTCTGCGGAATCGCTCAATTTCATTATGTCGTGTTCGCTGTTGTTGAGTTTGATGTGCACAAACTCATTGCATTCTAAGCCTATCTACCTCATTGTCACTCACTAAAGAACGCAATTCTGATATAGCAATACGACTATTTTCTTGATCTGTCTCTCTCTGGTCATCAGTGCGGTTAGCATGTGAGGGGTAGCTCTTCGCACATTTGATTGACTGCGACGACCTTAGTTAGGTCGTCTTCTTCTCGGAATTGTAAATTGTAATCAATCAAAGTGAGAAAAGTTCTTGCGCACTTAGCATTAAAGTGTCACTATCACAAAGGATCGACAAAAAAGAGCACATAACTTGAAATGTCACTATCAAAAAGGATCACCGAAGTAAAGAAAGTTCTCGCGCATAAAAAGTTTATCGACCAAATTGGCGATATTTTGAAAATGGGCCACGTTAGAAGTACCCTTAACCGACGAGCATGTATGCGTAGATATATGGATGTAAAGGAGGCGAAAGAGGTATGTAAGAATCGTGCCAAATGGAAGTCCGTAGTCTCTGCCTACCCCTCTGGGTGACAGGCGTGAGTGTTTATGTATGTTTATGTTATGTTTAAAATAAATCGATCAAAGAAGATGTCGATGGTTGGGGTTGTTTTTCGTCGTTAATTTCGAATATTTTTCTCTACATTCAGAGAGTTTAGTTATCAAACTCATTCGGTTTTTTTTGCTTATTTGGTAACTAAATTCATTTGAGAGAATAACCTCTCTATCTCTGCATTAGAACGTGGCAGTGGAAGGCAAGTTAAAGCAAGAGTACTTACACCTTGTTGTATGTTGTTACCGGAAGATTTGATAACTTTTTCTACTTCGACCCAAAACTGAACAATTTCTTCATAATGCCACTTATTTATATATATAATGTGCTACTGTTGAATTATTTTGTCTATTGTTTCTGATGTAAATTTCAAGATTTCAGCAAACTCGATGATAGTGTTTGACTTGATTGGTTTTATCGCCTCTTCTTGACTTAGCAACGCCATTGATTTTAGTGGCTTGTAGTTGTCTGGAAGTCTTTGTTGCAATTCTTTAAGTAATTGCAGTAAGAAGGCGAAGCAGCGTTGGCGCATTGCATTTAAAACTTCTAACTCTAAATTTTGTTGAGATGTTGCAGTTTCAAATATATAGCCAAGATAAGACCTAGAGTTAATATCCCTCTCAGATATTGGATCTAATAAGTTCCTGTTTAACGGTCATGGTATTAAAATTCTCTGACTCACTGATTGTATCAGTATTGTGAGTGTGAGTTCTCACTTTCAAATGATTTAATTAATGTTTGAACATCATTTAAAACGCTTCTCAGAAACACAAAATATAAATAATTCCTTATGTCTTTTGTATACGTGGTAGAGACACGAGCAGCTATATTATGGTTGTAGCTCGAATGGGTCGGCTCGACCGTAGAAGGATCACGCTCTCACGGAATACCAGCATAAATTAGCAGCATAATACCACTGTGTTCCGTATTGTCAGTATAGAGATCCGGAAACCCTTTTTTACTGATAACGAGGCATCCCATCGTAGTTCTCAGGGGTGACAACGACAAACTTAATCGAGGACAAATTTAGATGTCTATAGACTACAGCATCCACTTACCATCTGGTAGACTGTGTGTTCGTTTGTCACCCTTTTTCTATTTAGAAAAAATGTAAATAAGCTCAACAAACATAATGTAGATTTCTATTGGCCACAGCATACACTTTCCATCCAGATAGATATCATAATTATGGGCAAGTGACAAAAATTTTATACCCCGATTATATCCACTGACATGACAAGAGATAAAATTGTCTTATCCCTATGCCAGAGTACAACAAAAGAGGAAAGGAGAAGTATATCCCCGTTTGACATAACGAGTAGACATATATACCCCGTCCGTAGCATGAGGCCATATGAAAGACAAAATATTATCCTTTTTTCATGAATGTTGTTGGCTTTCCTAGCTGCCGAATCGTTGCAAATAAATCTTTTTCCTTGAAGCCCAGTACCCAACTGAATTGGGTATTGACCTTAGAGAGGCTAAATTGGACTCTATACAATTATGAATATACTCTTCGGATTGAACTTGTTCCTTAATTATTTTGGTATCCGTACCAACATGTTTAAACGCGATTGTTAAAGTGTCATGAACTCGTAGCCTCATTATTTTTACAGCCATATACAACAAATGATAGGAATCGACTCCTCGACGATCCTTACATCGCAGTTCACTAGATGCCATCATGAAAGGTGTAACTTTGACTGTATCCCTAAATTTCCTAGTGTCCCATATAAATACTCAGAAATGACAACTATTCAGCATCCTCATCGAATAATAAACTATGTAGAATATT